TAAGTGTTCTTCTTCAATAATCACAATGGAAACATTTCTGATTTCTTTTTAGTGAAACAACACTGAAGATCCCTTTCACTTTAGCCTTGCAACCTAGCAGATATGTAGCTATTAAACACTGTAGTTTCCTTTTGGTGGATATTAAGTAACATTTAATAATGTGTGCTTGAGGGTCTTCTCATTTTGCTTGAAATCAAAAGCTCGGTCTGCCCAACCCTTTGTTTTGTAAACAGTGAAATTGTTTTGCATTATACCTATCCAAATTATTGAGAAGAATTTAGTTTGCTCTCAGAGGCATCTAAAGGACCATTATTTTAATGCAGAAACTCAGTTTTGGCAGAAACTCAGTTGTGGGTAGTTTGCCTAAAAGGTTTTGCATGTTGTCTTTGTCTAAAGCAATGAGAACTGTAAACAATACAGTTCATAGGGTTTATTTTAAATTTGCAGAGATTTAGATCTGAACTTTGTATTTGAAAGATTAGTTTGGGTAGATCACTTCGCTGTAATACAGAAAAGCAGCTTGAACATCCATCTTGTGAAAGCAGCAGATATTTTGATGAGCTGCTCTCCTCTCACACCCTTTTGGGTTGGATGAATCTTTTTAGCTCTGGAAAATCGTGTTTCAGAAGTAAGTCAGTTCTGCTAAAGTTGGATTTTGTTCAGTTCTTGGAGACCAGGAAGCTTTTCTTGATTTAAAAAGCTGAAGAATATATCAATACTTCTGTAGGTACGAAGTTATTGTCATAGTTATTTGTAACAGTGTTTTCTGAAGCAGTAGAAACCTCTTAGTTATGAACTAATATCTACACACTCTGGTCAATACAGTAATTTCCTCAGGTTTGTGTGGCCAGAAGCTGAAAATGGGTTAGACACAATGCTCTGGATACCTGGGAAATGTGACTATTGTAGTGAGAAGTCATTTAATTTCTGACCAGTGTATTGAGTACACTGCACTTCCCTTGAGGAAGATCTGAAGTGAGTTAATACTACTACAAACAAAATTGTGAGGTGACTTTTATTAGATTTTCCTATTACTACTTTGTCTTGATGCATTCAAAAAATGTTATACCATGCAGTGGAAATGTAATTCAGTACAGTTGAACTGCATTGTTCAGTAATTTGAAAAAACAGATATTTATATCAGGACATCCTGAAATTACTGCAAGGTCACAACTTTTTAGTTGTATCAATATTAAGAATTTGACAGTTTCATGTATTTGAGGTCAATATGTTTAAAGTTCTGTTTCTTGGATAGGTAACGTGTGATGACTTTAAATTCTAGACTTCTCTTTTTCTATATCATGATTTAGTGAAGAATTGGCTTCATGGGGTATTGTAGTTAAGGAAATGTTAGTTTCATTTATGGCATGGCAAAATAAGGATAACTTCCATATATTTGGAATTTACTTTTGTAGTGCTATAATGAGGGCTAAAAAGTGATATATTTTTCCACTTCATGTTTTTAACTTGCCTAGAGTTACATGTGTGGCTTTTTCCTTTGTGATTCAGTGACTTTAAATCCAACACTAAAGCACTTCACTGATGTTAATGCATTTTTGTGTACTGAAATAGTGAAAAGATATGTATGCTTATTTTGTGCGTGTTGTGTAAACTGTAACTTGGTCTCCCCAGTTGAAGTTCATTTTTTTTGTAGTTAGAAGTACATTATGTTGAAATCTCACAGAGCATCTTGTTTTTGTGCATCCACACATGCCAATAAGTGAATCATGGTGCCTTTCCCAAGCCTTGTATGAACAGGACTGGGGTAAGGGCTCTTTTTTCTTACATCACACATCGGGTGCTTGAACTGGGCTCTAAAAAGTAAATTCTGTGCTTCTCAGGCACTTTCACTTGAAATAACCACAACATATTTTTTTAATGCATTGCAAGGTACATAGATTCACATTTTATTTCAACAAAGCTATTTAATATTTTTAAATTTACTGGTAAATTGAAGTTTGTTTCTCCTGAGACTACCTGGCATAAATCCTTTCTGACTTCTCAGGATGCAGATTATTGACGACTTTCTATTCTGTACTAGTTTAAAAAAGTCTTTAGAAAACAAATTAATTTTGCTTTGCTTTGCCATTCTTTGAGGGTGAGGTTTCTTTTGCAAACCTATTCAATGTGTGCCTTGCACCCTTCTACAGAGAAACAAAAAGCTTGGGCTGTGCATTTACAGTCCTGCCTAGGTGCACAAGTGAGCTCTAAGAAATCAATTCAAGCTTTTGTTCTCAAACTTTGGACAAGATGCCTGCTCTCAGTCTTCTGAAGGAAAACAAGTGAATCCCTCCTTTGCCATCCTGGTTAGTGTTTCCTTTGAGATTTTCAGCAGCAGATGGCACTGCAGTTGAAGATAACAGGTCTGCAGCAGAGTGTAACTTTTATACTGCACAGGAAAGTTTGTCTGGCTTGGTCACATGAATTGGATTTAGCAAGACTCACCTGAGACTGTTGGTGTGCTTGTTATGGTTCCTGATTTGCCTCTGTGCCTTTGTGAGGCTTCACTTCAAGGGTGTCTTCATTAAAGGTCTCTGCTGGTTGGGAAAGAACATAGGCAGTGCCTTTACTCCTCACATTCAGAACAGATACGTTTGTTTAAAACCACAAGCTTCTATTCCAGGCTTTTATCCACAGTAGTATTAAAATATACCATAAATCAAAAATAACAATGAAATTTGGACCATATCCTGTCTACTTGATGGTAGCTTAGCCCTCTGCTGGTTTGAAACTCAGTTGTTGTGTTGCACTAGAATTAACTAGTTTGAATAAAAGTTCTCTTTTGCTTAAGTGCTGAAAGTGCCTGAGATGCATATAATTTAACTTTTAGAGAGCAAACTGTGTTTCTGTGACGTGTTGCTTCTTTGTGCTCCCATGCCCCCGTGGCGTTCTGTCCATCAGCTTTGGCCTGGCTTCTCTGCTGGCGTCCCGCTCGCCGCTGCATGTGGCTCAGCTGCTACCTACCAGTAGTCAGTCCTGCTGGGAACCTGCATCTTCTCCTTGGCAGATTTCTGGTCTGTGGCAAATGCATTCTCTTGCCTTTTGCAGAAGTCACAGGTTTCTCCAAAGAAAACAAAGCCTGTGTTCCTCGGGACAAGAATCAGAAAACGTATACGGGAAAGCAATATAATCTTTTACTTGCAGGCTTTATTTTCAAGCTATACTTGATCAAAATCTGTAGGTTTGTGGATTGGTTTTTTTTTGTTACTTTTCTTCTTAAAGCCACTTACGATGCTGGAATACTGAAGGACTTGGCCAATTTTGCTGGCTGTGCCTGCTTTTGTTAGGGCTGTGAGGAGCAGCAGAGCAGTCGGTGCCGTTCTCCAAACGCACTTGCACAGGCTGGGTTCATCACCAAATTGTGCCTGGGGTGGTGAGGGGGGAGGACTCGAGTCCTGGGAGTCCCAGGTGACAAAAGCCTTGGTGAGGACTAAAGAACTGTGCTTGGAAATAAGAGTCTGTAAGCCTTCTGCATGCTTGAGTTAAGTTTAGGACTGTTTTGCTATTTGAAATAATCTCGAGTACTCCTCATTTTTTGTAATGAATCCTAGTATTTATTATGTAGGTAGAACTGGGTGTGAAAAAGTGGATGCAATTATGTGTTTTGATCTTGCCAGAGTCAGTATCAACCCTGTTTTGCCCTAAAACATGATTGTTGCTGCAAGTAATCAGAGAAAGGCTTCCTCAGAAAACAGAACAAAATTCTGGGAAAGGTCAGAATGGGAGTGAATGCAATTTAATGGAATTAAGTTCCTTGAAAACTTATTTACAACATTGCCTTAAAAGTATAGATTGTGGTTACAAGTTTCAGTTTTGAATATTATCAGAAGACTGGAAATGGAAATGATAATTTGCTTCTCACTCATGAGTGAATGTTGTTGAAGATAGCTTCAAAAATCCAAGGATTACAAGAATGGCTGAGAGTCCCTCACTAATAGTGAATCAAGGAAAATAGAGATGTTTGTGTCTGTTATGATATTCTTTTTGGGATAGAAGTAAGTGAAAGAAAGCTTAGAATACTAAAGAACATTGAAAAAATAGTTGGTTCTGTTTGCTCCCAGAATAGTATCCAAATAGTCCAGGGTATGGTAGAATAATAAAATTTTAGTTTTTTCATGCTCTGTTTGCACCAGGTTTTTGAGGTTTACAAAGATGTTTTGCTGAAGTTCTTTTATGGAACAAATTAACCATATAGTAGGTTGTTCTGAGACTGAATTTTCCTTTGATACGCAACGGGGGTGATCCACATCCATGCTGCATTCAGGAGAAGAGATTTCCCCTACTAGTGACCAAACTGTAGTCTTGTGTAACTCTGTATAGATTCTGCCACCAGTTTCAGTGAGGAACTTGGAAGCATGGGACAATCTTCATAACACAGGAGCATTTTCCCAGTGTCTGAATTGCACTGGTAGTAATTTACATTAAATAGTGAAATAATTAGGAAAGCCATCTGTATGGACTCCATCAAACCACAGTTGAAAGAGAAGATTATCTGGGTTGTATGGTTTGAAATTAGCAACTCTGAGGTAAAGAAAGTGCCTGGTGTTCTACTTGAGGCTTCTATTCTGGACAAACTCTTTCATGATTTCAGTAAAAAGCAACTAACACAGCAGTCGTTCCTGGTTTACATTTGTCTGCTTGCTTCAGTGGAAGAACAACTTGTGAATTGCCTTTTTTTCATGCAACTTTTTTCCTCTTTGAAGTTACTCAGCACATAGAGCCAGAAAAGGAGCCATAGTTAATTTATATGGCTTATGTATTTTATAGGGATTTTAGGGGAAGAAATAAAAGCTCCAGAATGTATTGGAAGACATTCACAGCTATTTTTCAGTTCTCTTTCTTTTCTAGATAATAAACCAATGTGAATTCTTGATGGAGTCTTAAGTTCATTCTTCTGTTAGTCATGTAATTTACAGTTACTGAGAGCTCTATTCTTCTGTCAAGGGGCGTAGATACTTCCCAGCTATAATATTGTTTTTGTCTTTGTTTTTCCTTTGCAGCTTTTGAAGAGCTTGAGAAGGCTGTGAGTATGGCCCAAAAGACAGAGGAAGCCCGGAAAAAATTGCAGATAGAAATGGATGAAAAAATCAAAGCAGTAGAAAAGGCAAGTGAGGAAGAGAGGGTAAATCTTCAACGAGAGTTAACCAGAGTGAAACAAGAGGTGGTTGAGATTATGAAGGTAAAAGCTAAAACTCACGCTGTATTATTGGCTTTTAATCTAATCGTTCAATTACAATTAAACCATACTTGTAAAATACATTAGTTTATCAGGACTTTGCTTGTAAAATTTTCCCTATTTAATACATTCTATAAAAAAGAATTTATGGGATTAAATATGTACTTAAAATAGACAACTTCCCATACAGATTTTATTTCTCAGTTTAAAATCAGTGTGTTAGAAGTATGTAAAAATGAGCAGTATTACTCTGTTTCACAGTATTTAATACAAATATTTACTAGAAGTGCACTTGAGACTTCAAAGGGAGTCAAGAAAAAGAAATTAATGGCAATCAGCTCACACACGTCCACCAGGATTTTGGGTTTTAGTACTAAGTACTTTTAATGATTTTCCTAGCCCAGTACGTGTGAACGTTTGAGAACCTGTTGCCAAACTGTTTGCTCTTTAAGAATTGCTAGAATTTGCTTCATGTGCCTTGCAAAGCTGTACGTTTGAAAACCTTTAAGTTAAATTGTTATGTTGACATTTTTATGTTCTTAATTTTTCTAAGAGATGCTTTGGTGGGATGACTGACTTACATTGCATAATTCTTAAAGCAAAATTCATCGCATGAATTTCTGGCTCATGAAATAATAAGAATATGGGGAAAGCTGCAGGCAGAAGTTCTTTTTCCAACTCATTGTCATGTTTGAGCTGAATCTGAAATGCTAAGTTCACCTTGAACAGTCTTTAGAAAACATGGTGGTTTTTTTAGTAGAACTCAAAGACTTGAGAAGGAAGATGGTGAACTTCAAACTTGAAAGTAAGAACTGTCAGGGCTTGATATTAGAGCACTCAAAGTGATTGTCACTTAATCAAAGAGAGCAAAAAGATGGTTCTGTTTTCCTCTCTCTGTTGCACTGCTTTTCTTATTAAGAAATAATACAAAATATTCTGTTATTTAATTTTTTGAAATTAGTTTGTTCTCACTTTGATTCACAGAAGTCTTTAGAGGAACGTGTTGCTGAACTTGAAAAATTCCATAAAAAAGAAATGGCTACCAAAGATCAGGAGCTAAATGAAAGGTTACAGGCCCAAGAAAAGGCATTCCAAGAGAAGATGAAAGCAGCTCTTGTAAGTATCATGTCTAAAACCTGTCCAAAGACATTTCTTTTAGAGTGAGGTGGGAATAGAAGTTTTAATCTGACTCTGTTCTGTGCTCAAAGATACAAGTGTGCTCCAAAAGTCAAAGAGCTCAGAGACTTCAGCAACATGAAAGGAAACGAGCTGCAACAGTGGAGACTGAATAATGACAGTCACTACCACTGCTCACTAACAGCTCATGTTGTGGGAAAGACTTCTTTTTTGGAAGCTCTTGTTTTTTTCTATTTCTCCCTCGGGATCATTGACGAGTGTTAGTATCGTTATGTCTGGTTCTGTTATGTGAACAGGGTTAGCTATCACTACCACTGCTCACTAACAGCTCATGTTGTGGGAAACACTTCTTTTCTGGAAGCTCTTTTTATTACACTTGTTTTTTTCTATTTCTCCCTCGGGGTCATTGACGAGTGTTAGTATCATTATGTCTGGTTCTGTTATGTGAACAGGGTTAGCTATTGATACTGTTTGACCTCAGAAAAGAATTTTCTTCTAGGTCAGGATGGATTCTTTGCTCTTTTTCAGAAGATGTGGTGATCTGAAGTGGATTACCTTATGTTACCTAATAAATACTAGATTCTCTTTTGTGCTTCTCCGTGATGGTTGGTGACTAGGACTGATGGACTTTGACAGACCCTTCCTGACTATATCTTTCTACCCATTTATCAAATTATTTTTTCAATTAGAAGGAATGGATACTTAAAAATACATTAGCAGTAGAATCAAGTGAGGACATACCTTTATTCCTCTAAAGTATTACTCTCAATTAATTTTGATAAACCAAAATGAAAGGCTGGATTGCATTATGTTTTTCCTACAAAGAGAATAAGAAAGCAAATGGTCCTCCAGAAGAGAAAACAAAGTTGATTTATAACAATTTTTCAGAGGTGAAATATGAACTCTGTGTGTGTAGGAAATAGAGGTCATCAGTGTGTGACTCATATTAACTGGTTTGTAAATGTCCTATTATCCTGTTTTGAAGGTGTCATGACTATAGGTTGTTTTAATCATAATTTTTTATACAGGAAAAAAATCAGAGTGAATGTTTAAAAACCCTTCAAGAAAAAGAGCAGCAAGAATCCCTAGCCTTAGAAGAATTAGAGCTGCAGAAGAAAGCAATACAGTCAGAGTGTGATAAGAAAGTTGAGGAGATGCATCAGGAAGTAGAGACTTTAAGAACTGTGAGTAAAGATCCCAGAAGGGTAAATGTTTACAAGAAATGTAAATGTGATAAGTTGACAAATACAGTGGATTTGTTGTGATTGGGGTGTATTGGTCTCAGTGCTTCTTGTAGTGACAGAAATGGAACATTTTGCCATAGTAAGCTGCAGCCCCTAGTTCTTCACAAGATCAGGTGGCAAAATATAGAAATATATTCACTTTATATCATGGAGTGGGATGTGAATTTGTATCCATCTGTGTAATTTTTGTTATACAGGAGAGTTAAACTTTAAACTGTTTATCTTCTGGGTACTGCTACCATACGAACACTTACAAGGGTACTTGAGTAAATAAAAAATGTGCTTAAATTTTTGAAGTGTTTTTCTGCTTTATGCAGTGGTTAAGAATGTATTACCTGCTAATGCAAGATTGTACATTATTCCAACACTCCCAAATATTAGTTTGGAGATTTTGTCTATAGAAGTGTTTTAACTTTACAGCAGCATTTGCATGAGAGGTGAAATTAAGATAAATCATTAGGTCTGTACAAAGCTCCATAATGCTCATGTAGATTGCCAATGTCTTTTATGCTATCTATTGGTACTTTAGCTTAATAAGAAAATGTGAACATATCTCTCATAAATATCTTGCAAGTTATTTTATTTGAATTAGTAAGTCCTTTCCAAGTTGTTACTTTATCTATTTTAACTGTGGTGAAACAGGAAAAAAAAAAAATCATTAAGTAACTAGCCCACCATAATAGAAGCAAAGCTGAGAACAAACCAGAGGATTGAAAGGCATACATTAAAAGTTGTTATACACTAAAAATAATGGAATAAGTGGTTTGTAGTCATGGGAATTTGATGTGATTTCTTGAAATTTAATCAGCTTGTTACCTTTTGAATATTTATTTCTTTTAAACCTGTGTTCTGTAACAGAGGATTCTTGAACTGGAAAGCTCTCTTGCAAAGCATTCGCAGGATGACGGAAAGCAGTCGGAGGAGTTAAGTACTATGATGGAGTCTGAAAAAAAGCAGCACAACAAGGAAATCAGTGATATCGTTGAAAAGCACAAGAAAGAAATGGAGAACATGAAACAGCAGCAGGAAAAGATTTGGACAGAAAAACTTCAAAACTTAAAGCAACAGCAAGTAATTGAACTCGAAAAAATGAGAGAGAAACAAGAACAAGAGATAGATAAAATTTTGAAAGAGAAAGAAACAGTATTCCGTGCACACATAGAAGAGATGAACGAAAAAACATTAGAAAAACTTGATGTGAAACAAACAGAACTAGAAGCACTGTCTTCTGAGCTGTCAGAAGCACTGAAAATACGTCACGATTTGGAACAAGAGCTTGCAGAATTGAACAGTAAAGTGTGTGAAACAAAGCAAGAAATGGAAGGGAAGCTGGAAGAAGAGAGGAAACGGCACAAGGAAGAGGTTGAAACGATGTTAAAAGAGCACGAAATGTCTATTCAAGGTGTTGAAAAGGTACTCAAAGAGGAGCTCAACAAACTCAAGCAGTCATTGGAGGAGAAAGACAGACATCTGGAGGAACTAAAAGCACATGAACAGAAACTGAAGGAATCTGCAGAAAAATCTGAAGCTGAACTTCTTCAAGTGTCTGCAAAGCTAGAGGAGCTTTCAGAGTCCCATCAGAGTACTTCTAATGAGCAGGCAAAGATTTATGAAGAGGAATTAGCAAAGCTAAAGCAAAAGGTGACAAATCTTGAAGATGAAAAATTGCAACTTAGTGGGCAGCTAGAAAGAACTGAATCCCAGCTGAACAAAGCCAAGAATGATTTAGAAGCACACATCTCTCAGGTGCATGACCTGAAGCAGCATCTGCAAGAGCAAAGCAATGAAAATACACAAAAAGTATCCTCTCTAACACAACAATTTGAATGTCAACTAAAGGATCTACAAAGAGAGGCTGATGAAACAAAGAGAAGCCTAACTGAGAAAGAAAACGAGATTGAACACATGAACAAGTTACAGAGTAAGCAAGTGGAAGAGTTTAATCAGAAACTGTTAGCCACAGAGGAGAGAATTAGTGTTTTACAAGGAGAATATGAAAGTAAACTGAAATGTCAGGAGAACAAGATGGACAAAATGAAAAGGAAATCAAAAGATATGCAGGAAACTCTCAAAAAGAAACTTGCTGAGCAAGAAGCTAAACTAAAGAAAGAGCTTGAAAACAAGCAGTTGGAGTTGAGTCAGAAAGAGAGCGAATTCAATGCTAAGATGTTGGAAATGGCACATGCCAGCTCGGCCGGAATCAGCGATGCCGTGTCGAAACTGGAATCTAATCAGAAAGAGCAACTGGAGAGTCTTGCTGAGGCTCATAGGAGGGAGCTGGAAGAAATTACCCAGAGCTGGGAGAAGAAACTCAATCAGCAGGTTGAAGAGCTCCAGGAAAAACATGAAATGGAACTGCAAGAGAAAGAGCAGGAAGTTGGAGACCTGAAACAGAAACTTGCCACCTTCAGTGCTGAGAAGGAGGGTTCCAGAACAGAAATAGCCCGGCTGAAGGAAGAGCAGGTGAAGAGCGAGGAGGCCCTGAGGGAGCTGCAAGAACAACTAAGGCAGTCAGTAGCTAAGGTGAACAATTTGTCAGATAAGGAAAGTGACCTGAAAACGCAGTTGAAAAAACTGGAAGGTGATCTTAATCAATCCCTGAAAGAGCAGTCGGGACTTCAGGAACAGCTTGATAAGCAGAAAGCAGTTGAAGAAAAGGACAAAGCCAGAATTACTGAGCTGGCTGATACACTGAAAATACTTGAAGAGAAACTCCAAACTGTGCAGTCTTCTCAGTGTAAAGATCATGAAAATTATGAGAAAAAAATAGAGGCAATTCAGCTAAAGGAAGCCGAGTTCAAAAGGCAGTCAGGAGAACTTGCAGCCCAGTTAGATGCTTACTGGAAGAACGCTGAAGCTTTGTTGCAAACAAAAAGCAATGAATTAATTGAAAAATGTAATGAAAAAATTGGTGCAGTAACAAGCAGAATTGCAGATTGCGAGCGCCGAACTGCAACAGTTAAAGAAGCAATATTAGCTAAAACTAGTCAGATTCCTGAACTAGAAGCTCAACTTAGAGAACTGACAGAGCATCATTCTGCTGTAAGTACTTCTTTGCAGGAGTCAATGCAGGAGCTGCAAGAGAATAACAATTTACTTACGTCCATGAGAGCTCACATTGAAGGACTTGTAGCAGAAAAGGAGCAATTGCAAAAAGAGGGAGGGCATCAGCAGCAAGCAGCATCTGAAAAAGAAACTTGCATAACACAGCTGAGGAAAGAGTTGTCTGAAAATATCAACGCTGTCACCTCAATGAGGGAGGAACTCCAGGAGAAAGAATCTGAGATCTCTGCTCTCCACAAAACCATCAATGACCTTAATGTTAGACTTGAAAGCACGGTGAGTTTAACGGAGAAGGAAGCAGCTGTGTCTCTGTTAAACAAGCAGCATCAAGAGGATCGGTTGCAGTTGTTAAACCAGGTACAGGAGTTATCCTCCAGAGTTGAGACACTGAGTCAAGAAAAAGCATCAGCTCTTGGGCAGGTGGAAGATTGCACGGCCAAGCTGTCGGAGTGGAAGGCGAAAGCACAAACCAGGTTTACACAAAATCATGATACTATTAAAGATTTGCAGAGCAAACTTGAATTAAGCAATATTGAAGCCAATAGAAAAGATGAAGAGCTAAACAAACTGAAGGAGCAACTGGCTAAACAAAGCAAGAATCTCGATAGCTTAAAAAGTGAATTGGAACAAAAACAGAACAGGAAAGAAAAGCAGGAACGTGAGTTAACAACAAAGTTAAAAAACCAGGCAGCAACAATTGCTGAACTAGAAGAAAACATTGCTCGGAAAACTTCAGAAAATGATTCCTTGATGGAGCAACTTAAAAAGTATAATGAACAAAAAGACACGGAGCAAAAAGAGATAGCTTGGCAACTCCAGCAGGCAGAGAAGGTGGCTTTTGAAAAGGATAATAGATTTAAGGAGGCTGAAGAAAAAGCATTTAATCTTGAGAAGCAAATAGGTTCACTGAAAGCTGAATTTGAAGCAAAGGAGAGAGAATTTGATCAACTGAAGTCAGAGATACTTAAAAGCAAAGAGAAAGAAATGAAAGAACTAGAAGACAGACTGAATGCAGAGAACAGCACTAAGCTGACAGATCTGAAAAAGAAGGCAGAGCAAAAAATTGGTTCTATTAAAAAGCAATTGATGTCTCAGATGGAAGAAAAGGAACAGCAATTTAAGCAAGATAGAGAAAAACTGTTAAGAGACTTGGAACAGAAAGTGCAGGAGAGAGAGGCCAAAATTGAATCCTTAGAAGAAAAGATTAAGTCAACAAAGGATTCCACAGAATTAGAGAAAGAAATGCTGCAAAGAGTAGAGAGTGTAAAAGCTGCTGTAGAACAAGAAAAAACTAACATGCTCGAGAGTGTCCAAAAGACATATGAAGAGAAAATGCACATGTTAGAGAAGGGCTTAACTGAGAAGGATGAATTGTTGCAGAAGTATGAAAAGGAACAAGGAGAGATTAATGACTCTCGTCTAGAACTCCAAAACAAACAGGCAGAACTCCTTAAAAAACTCAAATGTGTTGAGGAAAGCCATCAGGAGGAGCAGAGTAGGACTGAAAGCCTCAGGAAAGAACTTGAGGAGCAAACAAAAAAATACTCATTGCTAGCAGATGAGCATGCTCGCTGTGGCAGTGATTTAGCAAGCACTAGGGAAGAACTAAAAGCTAAAGAACAGAAGCATCTTGACATGGAGAATGTAATCGGAGATTTTCAGAAGCAGTTGCAGGAAAAGGAGGCAGTCAGTCAATCTTTAGAGCAGAAAATAAAAGAGTTGGAAAGTAATCTGCTGAAGGAAAATGAAGTGCATAAGGTTGAGATGGAAGATATGAGTTCGAGATATGAAGAAAAGCTAAAAAGTTTGCAGCAGCTGTTGGGTGAAAGAAGTGAGAGTCTGAAAGCTTTTGAGGAAAATGCTGAAGAAAAGGCTAAATCTGGTTTGGAGCTGCAGAAGTTACTGGGTGATATGCAGAACCAGCAGAAGGACTTGCAGACCAAACTGGAAGAGACTGAAAGGGAGAAACAGAAACTCCGCAAAGAGGTGAATAACCTTCAGAAGGACTTGCGTACCCTGAGAAAAGAACATCAGCAGGAGCTGGACCTAATAAAGAAGGAGTCCTTAGAAGAAATGGAGCAGAAAATCAGGTAAATTCTTTGTTCCTGGTCTTGTTAGAATTTCTTTGCTCTATCTTTAACCACTAAAACCTCAGGAATACTTTTTCTAAAGCTTGGTTTGGAACAATGAAATAACAACTGATATTTTTCTGTCATTTTTAAGTAGACTTAGAGAAACACCAAGGAAAGAGCTGTTTGAAAGTAGCACTTGATAAACACATAAACCACTGTTTGAGTCATCAGTTTAAGAAGTGGTTTGTCTTTTGGCAAAGTTATTTATACTGCTTTGGATTTGGTTTAGTGCTGGTTATTTTCAGCATTGCCAGAACACAAAATATAGTTCTAGTTTCCTCAAACAGAAAACAAAGTTTATTAAAACTTGGGACTGAGAGCTTCATGTTCAAATAATATCAAAAATTGTTTGTAAGTACTGCACAAAAATATATATTGTTAAGCACTCAAATGGTTTTTCAAGCAAGGAATTTCCCAAAACTCTCCGTTTGTGTGGCACGTTCTGTACTTCAGTTCTTCATCTACCTCAGCAAAAACTATCTTTTGAAGGGTCCAATTCTGGATGTTTTTTAAATGAAACACCTGTGTCTTTCAGTTGAATTCAATCTTCAGCTTGAACTGGAGGGGATCAAGAAGCCTCCCTGAATCCCACAGAATTCATGTAACTCAGAACCATCCCACTGGAGAATGGTTTTGAAGAAATTGCCAGATCTCCTACCTTGCAAAACTGTTGTCACATTCTCCTTACATTGCCTCATTGCCTTTTTTGACATTTTTGTACAGATGTGAACAAGAAGACATCGAGTTAAAGCACAACTCCACCTTGAAGCAGTTAATGAGAGAGTTCAATACCCAGCTGGCTCAAAAAGAAAGAGAACTGGAAACAGCAGTAAAAGAGGCAATCAGTAAGTGAAATATTAATATAGCTGTAATCAGTAAAACAGCCAGAAACTCAAATCTTCAGATCATTTGGGGAATGGGTTTTACCTGAAACTCTGATCAAGACAACGTGTGTTTTGTGGCTGCCTAGAGAACTCATGGAGGGAGCTTCTCTTGCTCAGGAAACAACATATCAATGTTAATTGTAGCACAATTAGAAAAGCATATCTATAGCTGTTCTTCCTTACCCTGCAGGTCAGATCTTTGATCTAGCACTCAGTTTGCATCTGTCATGGCAAGAGTTAGCCCTAATAGTTATAGGTACTGGAGTGATGGCTGGTTGCTGCACCTTGCAGTTATAACTAGTGCACAGCACATTTCAGCTTCTCTGTCCATCTTTACCACCATAGTGTAAGTTGGAGATTGGAGAAGAGAGCAGAAAGTATCATGATTCCACAGTTACTGCAAGTACCCCTACAAGTGAGACATTTCTGAACATTTGGTGATGTTTCAATCACTTCTCTACATGGAGGTAGGATTAGTTGAAAAATACTGGTTGTGATCTTAACTTTTAGGGCAGTTTCAGCATCAAGTGGAAGAAATTGCTTCAGATACCAAGCTGCAGACAACAACCTTCACATAATTTGACAAATTAAACATGCTTTTCATAATATCACTTTTTTTTTTTTTTTTAGGTAAAGCCCAGGATGTAGAAACTGAACTGGTAGAAAATCATCACATAGAGACAACACAGTTGCATAAAAAAATTGCTGAAAAAGATGATGATCTGAAAAGAACTGTGAAAAAATATGAAGAAATACTTGAGGTATTTTTCTGAAAAATGATACGACCACATACATTTCAAAATAATGCTTCCCCCTTTTTTGTTGCACAACTAGACAGAAAAACTATATTTTTTTTTTCTGGTTAAGATTTTGCTGCTTGACTTACACTTGGTATGTATGGTGACCTAGCTTTCAATTAAAATGTTTTGTTTCTGTGTTTATGGACGTAAAAGAACACCAGAAATTAAGCCCCAGCTCTGGTCATTCAGTCAAAATTATATGGGTGGGTCATAGAATCATAGAATCTTTTAGGTTGGAAAAGACCTTTGGGATCACGAGGTTCAACCATTAATCTAGTACTGCCAGCCCAACACTAAATTGTGTCCCTCAGCACCTCATCTACACATTTTTTCAATCCTTCCAGGGACAGTGACTCCACTACCTCCCTGGGCAGCCTGGTCCAGGGCTTAAGAATCCCTTCAGTGAAGAAGTTTTTCCTAATATCCAACCAAAACCTGCCCTGGTGCAACTGTACATCCTACTGGGATGCAGGCTTTAACTTTGATAATCTTAGTCCTGTTTTGTGCAAATGATTTCATAAAAAAAGAGAATGTCCCTTCAGAAGAGCAAGTATCAATAAATATAAGTGAACTTCTTGTTTATGCTTGGTTACCAGCCCAGAGAGCTGTGTGCTGAGCATGACTGAATGTTTAATACTAAAAATTCCAATCTTGGAGGCAGGTTGGTGTTCCACTCTGAGTTTTGAACTTCTAGCAAGCTGGGTGGAGATGATAAAGACTGAAATTGAGAGTCCCCTTCTGTTTCCTTAATTCTGAAAAATTGCATGATATAAACTAATTGAAATTAATCTTTTGTATCATAGGTCTAAATTCTGCCATTCTGGAGGATTTATATTTCTCTTGCCTGAGTGTGCAGTGTGTTGTCATTCAGGTTCTTTCTCTAGAGGCCTAAATAGGTCTGTGATTTAAGTCACGCAGATGTCATTCCTCTCTGTTTTCTGGTGTAGTCAGTCTGTGTCTGTCAGACACACGCATGCTCTGTGATCTTGAAGGTTGAGGCTAATTTGATTTCTGCGCAAGTGGAGGATATGGATGCTTATTTTTTGCATCTCATTGATGATGGCAATGACAGATGCCTGGAACTGCAGTAG